TCGGTAAAGGTACGGGCGAGGTATGGGCGCCTCGCCGGACACACGCTCGCCCCCTCCCGACGGCCCCGCCCGACATGCTACTCATGATTTACTCATGCAGCGTATGGCGTGTTCTGGAGAACACCGGCGCCGCGCGCTGGAGCAGCGACTCACATGTCGACGTCACAGAGCGGGTCGGCGGAGGGTCGGAGGTCGACGGGCGGGCCGAGCCCGAGGATGGCGCAGCCGAAGCGGCACCTGCGGCAGCGTCGGAGCTCGATGGGTCCGGCGAGGTGGAGGAAGGTGCAGCCGAGGGGGCGGAGACGTTGCCGTGCTTCAGCATGTAGCCCGCGATGATCGCCTCCTCTGTGGGCCGCAAGCACAGGTACTTCCAATGGTTATGCACCTTGACGATCTGCCGCAGGTGAGCTGCGGGAAGTTGACGGCCCTCGAGACTGTCAGCGGGGCCGGGTACTGCTTGATCACGTCCATGCCCATGGACTGGAGCGTCGCGTTCTGCGTGGAGGAGGACTTCTTGGGCGCCATGAGAGCTGTTGACTGTTGTTGCGTTCGCGCGACGGGGGGCGGTGCACACCTTAATCGCGCGCACCGCCGGTGTGAACGTCTCGAGAGTACCCCAGGTACCGGTGTGGACATGTGGAGGGTACCTCGGTATAAGGTGCGCTAAGGTATAGCACTCACTCACACACCTAGGTAGAGGGTGTGGGCGCTGCGCGCCTACCGACATGTCGGTACAAGGTGTACACCTGCACCTTCCGTAGCGTGGCTTGCCGGCGGTACCCAACGCTGCTCGAACGGCAGTTGTCGACCGCCGGCAGTTGACCGGCAAGATGAAGTCCACTGCGCTCGAAAAACATACCACCGGAAGCGCCTCGCCGAGGCGCACAAGAGTCCCCGTCAGCGCCACGCGCGAGAGCATGTGTCCAATGTGCAACGCGGCGGCGCGATGAGTCACGGGACGACCGACGGAAGCCGGACAAGCCACAAAACTCGCTCTCGCAGAGCAGGTTTTCACCGATTTGCTGTGGGCGTTGGCTGAAATAGTGCTCAAACCGACCAACGAAAACGGCACTAGTTAAGGGCAAAACCCGATTTGCTGTGGGGGGCGTTACAGTGCGAGGCGTGGCGATAGAAATCGGGGCGTCGGCATCCAGCAGCCGATTTCTGTTTCGGCGAGGGAAATCGGGCGAGCCAGCAGCCGATTTCTGTAAGCGATTTCTGCCAAAATTTTCTTCGGCGCTGCGCGCCGGTCACTATACGGCTCTCTAGTCTAGATACTAGTACACTAAAAGGTTGCCCTGAGATACGAATTCAATCCTCCCGCTTAACCCTCCGTGAACCCACTAAATTGCGTCTGTACCCACGCGGCAAACATTCATTTATTTCGTGTGTGCATGCTCGCTCGTTCGTGCACCGAACGAAATTCTGCTCTCCAACAAACCCGTCGAGAGGCCACGTCACGCCGGTGTCCCCTTTTTCTGCATCTTTGTGAGTGTGGCAGCCCACTTTGCCAGTCCCTAGAGGTGTCTTTGACATTTGACTTCGATGTCTGGTGGGGGACGATTTATGTCTGGTGGGGGACGCAGGTGCTCAAAGGTTGCGGGCGTGTCACCACTCGCGCCTTCGCTCTCGACACTGGGTTCTGGACATGCAACGACATGCCGAAAAGGGAGCGATCCGCGGCGCAGGCACGCGCTGAGGCCGTGTATAGACGCGCCAATCCGGATGATAGGGGCGATCGGGGCCGTGACCGCAGGGCCGAGAAGGTCGAGTACAGACGCAGACTCAAGAACGCGAGAGCGGAGGCCGCCGCCCTCGCGGTGCCTGACGCTGCTCCTGCCGTCCCGATTCCGTCTACCGTCCCGATTCCGTCTACCGTCCCTCGGCCACGGGCCCTCGGCCAGCACGGCAGGGGCCACCTGCTCGTCGCGAGGCAGCCGAGCTTGGCACTTCCGCCGCCCCTCGCCGCTCTTCCACCTACAATTGCTCCTCGCCTCGTCGCTCCGATCCCGCCTTTGGCGCCGACCGCGAGCCGGTACGGCGGCCTCGCCCTGCGCGACATCGCCTTTGGCAGCAGCCAGGGTCGCCTCGGCAAGGGCGGCCAAGGCACCGTTAGGCTTGGCCGCCACTACGGTGGTCGTCTCGCGGTGAAGCAGCCGCTGCGCGCGAGCAGCGCCTTCGCCTCCGAGTGTCAGATCGCGGCAGCACTACACCATGAGAACATCATCTATGTGATGGGCTTTGCATGCGCCCCGCGCGAGACGCCGTTCCTCGCTCTCGACTATGCCGACGCAGGGACTCTGGGAGATTTGTTGATCGGGGATCAGAGGGGCGAGAGCCGCTCCCTCGGCGTGCAGATTGCAAGAGCAATGTCGTACCTGCACACGCGATCTCCCCCCATCGTGCACCTTGACCTCAAGCCATCGAACGTGCTGCTGTCGGCGCGCTCTGAGGGGCTTGTCGCTAAGCTGTGTGACTTTGGGCAGGCGAGGCGACTAGCCGTTGGGGCGCAGCTCTCGCACTCAGGCACGCCGGGTTGGCGGGCGCCCGAGCAGGTGCGGGTGGCCCGCGACTTTGCAGTCGTGCCGCTTTCGCGTGGCACCGACGCCTGGTCGCTAGGGTGTGTCCTGGCTGCGCTCGAGGCGCCGTCGGGCGTCTGCGACCCGTACCACTT